CATCCATATTATAGAAGGGATCAGCATGTACTTCTTTTAGAAAATGATATAGATGAGCATATTATTGCATAGATGGAACATTTACAACGGCATTAATGGCCTTGATATATGCATTTAAAGAATGGAGATTATTTTCTTATAAATCTATAAGGACTACTTCTTTCATCAAACGAGCATCCCGTTTCTCTTTCAATCTAGTGTCATAACTATGTACGGTTAGCTCTTCTAATTTAGTACTATCATCAACTGAACGGAATCCCCAGCATTGATTATGTGAAAGACTGAGAAGCGTCATAAATCTATTATTTAGATTCAGTTTTATCAACTCTGCATCGATCAACCTAGGGTTGTGTATATTCATATTTAAAATCGCATACTGTGTAGTGATCGGGTTCATTAAAATTGTTACCAAGTGTGCTGCAGTAAAAGTTGTGGTTGTGTTTGGCATCCGTTTTGTATAAATACTATGATAATCATCGATATTTAATATCATTGCCTTCTCTGCATATTCTGCAAGTGTAGAATTGACAGTTTTAACATGGTCATTAGATATGGTAGTTTTATGCCGCATGATTGTACGAGATGTTGTAGTTATACCTAGATCAGTAAGAGTATCTATAGAGGCATTAGAAACACCGGTAGAATCCAAGTACATCATCAATTCTTCCTTTGCGACATTAACGAACTTGCTACGAATTCTGCAGAAAAAGTAGCATACATATAAGAGCTGCTTTTTCGCCTGTGCTCGTGAATTTTCATTTTTTGAAGAAGGGTTAGAAGAAAGATATAACTCGTCAAAAAATGAACTTAATCTTACATCTTCCTCTTTCATAACCGCACGAAATTCATCAAATGAGTATATCGCTAATTTTTTTTCTTCTTTTTATGATATAAAATATTAGTAATTATTTCTATTGCTTTAGAGAAGGATAAAATAGAAGGTGGAAGTGGTGGCACCTAAAGCGGAAGCGGTGGTGATAGTGGAGCCAAAGGTGGTGGTGGTAGTGGAGGTTAAACCGGAGGTGAAGGTAGAGGTAGAGGTTAAACCAAAAGTGGAAAGGAAGATTCTAGAGCATGTTTTTGGAATGCAAGTAAGCAGTTTACCACAATTCTGTTATAACAGTTTAAGCAAATCTTATCACCTATTTGTAAATATCCTGGTAAAGTTTTGTTAGTTTGACCTTTTGAAATAATGTACTCAGTTACCTTTTTTCATCGTACTGACTGTTGGGTTTGGCATATTGTAATTATATACGATTTCATTAAGAGTACTTGCCTCTAAGTAAAGTACCTTTAGATTTTGGATTTTTTTGTGATTATTTTGCACAGTGAATGTTAACACACTTTCGAAGCTAGAGAAAAAATTTTTTTATTTTTTTTTTATGTGAAACATTACAATCTCAAAAAGTACTCTAAACTATATAAATAATGTATCCGGCAATTGAATAGGATCAGTCAATCACATGAATATCCGTTCATGACACTTCCTCTAGATCAAAAATCTGGATGGCTTGGTATACAAGGATTCTGTTTATAATAATAAGAAACATTTATGCAATCAATGCTTTCAGAGTTGGCCAATAAAGAAATTCTTAGCCCATCACCAGAAGTGGTGTTTCAGATTGGGGGAAGCTTCTCAATATATTACAATATACATAAATGATATTAATGACTTTGAGAAATTCAAGAATCATAGAAAAATGATCAATACCCCATATGTGATTTCAGCTGACTTTGAGGCCAGAAATAAGAAATGTGGACTAACTAATAGAGAAAAGACTTGTCTAATTTTAGAGAAATATGCTAACAGTTTCTGCTATACAGTCCATTGGATTGATACAGTTGAGACATAGGGCTTTTTCTATACTGCAGATCAAATGTTACATAAGAATTCGTTTGAAGGATTGATCAGGAGTTGGTAGAAATTAATAAGATTTCAGCTATTAAAGCAGAGCAAATTATTACAGATGAAAATAAAAGTCAATTCGCAGAAATAGATAGCTGTTGAATCTGTAAAGATAAATTCACTATAGATAGGAAAGAGGTTAGATGCTTGGAAAATAAGTCTGTCCAGCTTAATAGAAAGCTAGAAAATACTGCTAAGGATTCGGAAGAGTGTAAATCTATAAAAATAACTATTCTTAAAGTAGCCAAAGAAATCGATCTAGCTGAATCTAAGAATAATAAGATTTGGGATTATTGTTATATTTTAGGTAAGTTTCGTGAAGCTCAAACTTCAGATCAAATCATGGAAGACTCCAATTCCAGTTGTATTCCATAACTTTTGGGGATATGACTCTCATTTAGTCTGTGAATCAGTTAGGCAGTCTGTTAATGTCTATCAGATCAGTATTATTATTGAGACATTTGAGCGATATAAGTCTATGAAGATAGGTCAGCTCAAATATATTGATAGCCAATAGTTTATAAATGATAGCTTGACCAATCTCACAAAGTATCTGGGAGATGATCATCCAGTAACTAGTAAGTATTTTAAGAGTAAAGACTATACAGATGAATAAATAGCCTTAGTAAGATATAAGAGGGTATACCCATATGACTATATAGATTCTCATGAAAGATTTTTAAAGACAGAACTTCCTCCATTTCATAAATTCTATAGTCAGCTTAAGGGGAATATTTCACAAAAGGATTGTGAATATATCCAGAAAGTATGGAAGGAATTTAGATGCAAGAATCTAAGTGAGTATCATATCTATATTTTGATAGACATATTTAACTTTACTAATGTCTGGACTAAGTTCTAAAAGACATTTATGAAATATTATGAGCTTAACCCTAGCCAATACGTATTTGTTCCATCATTGTCCTAGGATGTTATGCTTAAGTTTATTAGAGTTAGAACTGAGCTATTCACAGAAATGGCTATGCATGACTTCATCAAAAAAGCCAAGAGTGGTAGTATTACCATAGCAGTGCATCAATATTTCAAAGTTAATAATCTGAAGATAGAAGAGGCTTTTGATTCATCCTAATCCATGACTTAGGTCTCATATATTAATGCAAATAATCTTTACAGCTAGGCTATGAGTCAGTTCTTACCTATTGGAAATTATAAATAGGTCGCTAGTCAGGAATATCTTCTTAAGAATCCTAAGATGCAAAAGAAATATCTTGAAATAATTCTCAAAACTAAAGCAGATGCATCACGTAGATTCTATTTGAATATTTGCTCACATTTTTCTCTAAAGACTCATGACTATTTAAATGATCTACTCCTAGCCATGAAAAATATTGCAGTAAAAAAGATATGCTATGTACCTATAATGCTAAACTTGTGAATAAAATGGATAAAAAGTGTTTTTCAGCAACGGAAAAATTAGTACCTCACCTAGGTTCTCGAAAAAATTATGTTATCCATTACCAAAAACTTCAGTATTATGTGAAACTAGGAATAATTATAGATAAAGTTACAGAAATTATGTCCTTCAATCAGACTAACTGACTTGCTCTATATATTGCAAAAAATACTTTTGAAAAGAATTTTTTCAAGCTCATGAACAATTCGGTATATGACAAGACTATAGAAAATGTTCATAAGTATCAGGATGTTAAGCTTATGACTATGAATAATAAAAGGGATGAGAAGAAATTCCTTAATAAAGTTCATAAGTCCTCTTTCAAATATGGACACCAGCTTAGAGATACGTTAGTAGGAGCATATATAAGAAAGGCTAACGTGACTCTCAACAAGCTCATCATAGTTGGTGCATCAGTATTAGGCTTTAGCAAGCTTTTGATGTATCGCTTTTGGTATGACTATATTAAGGACAAATATGGGAATAAAGTCAAGCTTGGCTATATGAACACAGACTCTTTTATATTCATAACTGAAACAAAAGATATCTATAAAGATATGGAAGAAAGATCAAACCTTTTTGACCTTAATGATTTGAAGACTATTAGGCTTTTTAAAGATGAGTGTTTCAATGAAAAGATGATCATAGAATCAATCTATATCTGAGCAAAGGCTTACCATAATGTCTTAGCTAATAAGATCACAAAGTCTATACATAAGGAGGTTAGTAAGAGGGATATAAGTGAAATGGTAACAGATACATATTTTCTATCATTAAGCGGGTCTTTACTAGATGATCCTGTTCTAAAAAACAAAATATTTAATCCTTTGACTCAAGTATATCGGGATTGCCTCTTTGGAAAGGAAGTATTCTATGCTAAGAATATTAGTTTTTGAGTAAAAGATCACATAATATCCCTTATCGAAACAGAGAAAAAAGCTCTCTGCCTAATAGATACTAAGTGCTAAATCTTATCTAATGGGGTAACCAGTTTGGCATATGGACATTGGCATGTCACAATATATAAAAATATGGGGTCTTTGCAATAGAAAGGGAGGAAACTCAAAAAAAAATAAAAAATGAGTTAATAATAAATCTGAACAAATTATAGTATTTGAAACATTTTTGGCTTATAAACTAAAATTTTAATTTTTTTGGAGTTTCCTCCCTTTCTATTGCAAAGGCCCCATATGGTCAAAGATGGTATTCTTTATGAAATGGCTAAAAAAAGAGCTATAACTGCAAAGATTCCAAAAAAGTATCAGAATGAATGTACTGATCATATAGCCAGCCTATCCCATTAAGCTGAACTAGTAAAATATCTTGAGAAGTGTCTTAAATGCCAGAGTATTATTATATATTTTTTTTTGGAGCGATAAATATTCAGTTTATTTTTTACTCTTATTCTTACTAGGATATTGCTTCTTTTGGGATTAGTGTCAAGTGATTCTCTATATATATACTATTATGTATGTTATATGATACCACCTCCTTAAGGCTCCACAGTATGTTTGGGTTAATGATGAAAATTTAGCCTAAGATTAGAAGTAATGTGTTACATGAACTTTACCTCCAGCCTTAGAAAAACTATTTATTCGCATAAGATGCTAATTGCTATGATTTGCAAGAGGGTAATGAATGATAAAATGTGATGTGTAATTGCTGATGAAAATCTGAAAAATGGTTTCTTTTATGAAAATTACAAGTACTATAAAAGTAGTTGTATGAATAATGTTGGTAAGAAGTAATGACAAAAGCTAGTAATATATCCATCATGTCAGGTTCAGAGCAAAGTAATGTGTCATTATCTTTTCTTACTAATCTTAGAATCCTTGAATATAAAATACTTAAAAGTCTCAAAGAGAAAGATGTCAGAGATATTGACATTTTAGAACTAAGGCCATGTTCTGAATGTAATGAGGAAATTTTTTCATTTTTCATTACAGGATTTACCACGCTCGTCTGTGGCCATACTTACCATAGACTTTGTATAGAAAAAAAGTTTCTGAACTCTTGTCAATTCCCTGGTTGTGAAAAGAACATTGACACTATAGAAGTTAGAAGAGGTTCGCAATCATCTCAATCAAGTGGTATTTTGGCTATATCAACCCTGATAGATGAAAAGTTTATAATAACTTTACTAACAATACATGAAGATGCTATAAAAGATATGAAGGTTGCTGTGTATCAACAAATTGAAAGTAAACAAAGCAGTTTAACATGTGCAAAATGTTCTGAAAATATCACCCAAGTCTTTTCTCAAGCACCCTCAAAACCACTAGTATTTTTGTCTTGTAAGCATGCTGTGTATTACGATTGCATTGATAACCCGCAAAAGTTATGTTCTATTTGCTAATTATTCAAAGGAATTGAGGCGAAAAAAAAACGTTCTAATGAGTTTGCTTCTAAAAAAGTCTTGAATAAAAAAGCAAAGCAGACCAGAAAACAGATCAATAGAAATGCTTCCCATACATTGAAAAAACTAATTATGGAGTTGACTTTTTCCGAGTCTCCAGAAGATGATCTCTTTGTAGACCCTCTTATCACTTTACAGTTGAGTATCCCTGAGATAAACGTAAACTCGCTTGATTTTCTCAGTTTATATAATAAGATTAATACTGCTAAAAACAATCTTCAAAGAACCACTCATGATTTGCTTCGATGCTATTATAATTTTGGTCAAGCCATTAAGCAGTTATTCGATTATTTTAGAAAAACTTGTAATGAGGATATATCTAATACTAAAGTTAATGATAGAATCATAAATCAGATTTCTATGCAAGATAAATTTACTGAGACTAACCTTCGAAAAAGAAAGGAACAGGTAAAAAAGTTTTCAGACTTTAGTAATATTGGTAGTATAGAAGTAATAGAACAGTTAAAGTCTTTAAATGTTACTACAATCTTAAATTTATCCCCAGATGAAGTCGATTTTCTTATTGCTAGATTAAACGAATAAATACGTACCTACTGCTATATGTATTTTATGTAACTTTTAATAATAAAGGACAATCTTTACTGAGATCCCTGCTATAACTATTTTTAATTTTTTATTTGTAAAGTAGTGTGATATTAATGTCATGGCTCTCAGAGCTAAAGTCATAAAGTTTCCAGTTTTCATTCTACCATATTAATAACTCTATTCCAAAACTTTACCAGATATTATTGGTTTAGCTGTGACATTAATGTCACACTTCTCCTAATAAGATTTTGAATAAGGATCCATATGATTAAATTAACCAATCATTTCGAACATGTGCATTTTATTCGTAATAATTTTTAGGCTATCTGACTAAAGAAAAAATCTGAAATCTGATTAGCTTGTAAGTAAATCTATAATTTATCTCGTGATTTGAGTTACGAAAAGGTTGCAAGAAAGTACTAGGAACTGACTGAGAGCCAGGGTGATACAAATTTTTATATTATACTGCAATGCCTCTGGCTAATCCCTGTTAATCATGAGAGATCTATGAACTAAAAGTGACGGAAGAGCATCAGAAACTAACGAGATGCTGAAAAGGAGCCAGGTGTACTATAATAAAATGATGATCAAGAATAAAAAATAATTTTTATTTACTAACATGTAGTCTCACAAATTGGTTACAGCTACGGTAGGAGAACAGTGTGCAACATAAATTAGCATGTTTTTGATCCTCATTAAAATATATATGATATAATGTTGAGATTTTTAATGCACATTCTGCATGTCCTTATTTTCGAACACAAACTTTTAGTATAAGAATCCATTGCATATTCTTCTACTTCGACTCTAACATGAATTCAGACTCAGAGAAGTTGTGAATGAAGATTTAAAAGGGTAGTATATGAATTCAAGTTATTCGTCGCTTCATAATTTATAACATTAACAAAAACTAATAATATTTTTTTACGTAAACATGTTTAACAATTTGGCTAGTAAGATCTATAATTTTCTTACTATCTTCTCATTAGAACATATTACTGCTTTTTTTGTAGTCTATTAAGCTATGAAAGATTATCCATAGATCGAACAAAATAATTTAAAAAGTATAGTAAATAGCATCATTTCTTTAGCAAAAAATGATTATTTTTGAGATTTATTAGCACAAAACAAACTTCTTACAGTTTCATTATAGGTCAATTAATAAGCTTTATAATATCTCTTTATTAACAAATGATGATTGGTGTAATTCTTTATTACAAGATTTTTAAACTCGTAAAGGCTTTAGTCAATGGAAGTATCTAATAACCTGTTAGTAATAAATTTAACTTTATGAATAAAACATGGAGATTACTCTGGATACCTGATATCTGTTAGTACTGGATTCAATTCTAAGGACGTATGGGAGTACTCTGACTTTAGTCTTTCAAGTTTTGGGAGTCTATATGTAGAAATGAAGTTGCTTATAATGTGTAAATCACGCAGAGATAGCAACTTTACTATATTATTTCTGATGACACTCGCAAGTGATATAGAAAATATTCATTATAAGAGTGAAGATTAATATATATTTTTAATGCATCAATTCGATATTGCTTTCGAGGGTGTTTATAGTCTTTATGATATAAAAATAGCAATTAAACCTTTTAGTAATAAAGAAATTAAGGATAATATGAAGGATTTGAAGAAGAAGCTTGCGGTAAATTTCTGTCAAATCTCTTATTTTTTTCTTATAGTATGAAAACTTACATAATATATTTCCTCTTAATTTATAAAGAAATACGACTTCACATACTAAAGAAATATGTAAAAAGTTAAAAAATATATCTGTTTCTGATTTGTCATGGAGAGATGCAACTGCTAACCAGGTAATAAGTGATGATTCTGACCTGGTAAAAAATTTGAAAAAATCTGCACATCAGTCTTTTATGAAACCATTACTGAATATGCAACCAGTTGTACCAGAAATAATTCAAGAAAAATGCGATTCCTTTGTAAAAAATTTTAACATTAATAACTTGAATGAATTACCGCTGAAACTCTTGTATAACAAAATTTGAAAGGGTCAGAAGAAGATCTAGTGAAGATAAGTGGAGAAATCCTTAATACCCTGTAAGTAAATTATTATCGTAAATTTATTATACAGTAATATCTCTATAAATGCACGCTCTATAAATGCACACCCTCTCTATATGCACACTATAGCTTAGTCCCAAGCTTGGGACTTAGAGCTAAATGTACACCCTCTATATTCTACACGTGCAAGTAATTTTAAGTCCTGGGTATAATTGGAATACCTCTATAAATGCACTCACG